CTGGCATTGCGTGAGCAGAACCTTTGTAGTTTGAATTTTACCCATCCGTCTGCTTCCCTTCTTACTCCCCAACTGTTGGAGTAAACTGTGATTCAGCAGTGACTCAGCTGTAGCGGTTTGATGTTGCTGCCATCCTCTCGGCTGTCTCGCTTTGTTTGATTCAGAGGCACATTCCTGAAACATTGCAAAACGGTTAGAAAAATAAAGACATATGGTGACCTCTGACCCCAACAGCACTTTGTTCGAGGTGTTTCTCTTTAAAAAACAGGTCTCATACATATGAAGAATAAACTAGAAAAGTAGATGTTGCAAAAGGTTTACCTTTCAGCAGGATGACAACCCTAAATAAATATTTTTTAAAAACATCATAAAGCCACATTAATTGATTTAGGCAGTGAATTTAATAGACATATAAATTAGTCTTGTTTATATTGATGGCTTCGTTGAGGCCGATTTTTAAATACTCTTATTTTATGAGCAAATCATTTGGGATCATCAGCCTGTCTTATTCCCCTGAAGTAGTCCTATTTACGTTTGGTTAGTCGGGCTCTTAATTAAGTTTTATTTATTCAGGCAGTTTAATCAGGGTAATGGGTCTGTTCCACAAGAGCACCCTGTGAAGAAAATACTAGCTCTTATCAAATCAGAAAGCTAGTGACACCAAACGTTTATCGCAGAAAATCCAGTAAACTGCAACTATTTAGATCCCGCTCATTTAAATACGGTTTAATTTACCTATAACAACAAACATGATCTCAAAGCACAATATTAGACACACCTCAGTTTTGACTTATCATTTAACTGTATTAAAATCAGTCCATTTTGTTCTGTTCTTGCATTGAAAGTGACAGTCATGTAAAGCCTGGTGTTGATTGAAGCATAGCCAAGTGTTTAGTAACTTTCCATCAGTTGGTGTATGTGGTTAAACCGAAAAGGAACATCCCCCTTTTTAACGAGAAAGAGGTTTCTGTTCTGCCAGCTTCAGAATGAGTGGTCTCCTACCACGGCCAACTGGGGGTTGAGTTGACAGGAAACACAAAACTGAAATGGTATCATTACAACATATCTTCCGGTGGGAGTCGATGCAATCAACTGGTTTTCCTTAGATAGAAAACTTTGAATCAATTAGACTGTATGATCTGGTGAATTGAGATGACGTGTTGTGAATTGATGCTTTATAAATAAACTAAATTTGAGATTGACACACAGCAAGCATGATGCACTAGTCCAGTGGTTCCCAAAGATTTTCCTCTGGGCCCCCCTTTGGATTACACAAAAAATTCCACGCCCCCCCATTGACCCCCCCCCCCCCCCCCCCCACGACCCCCCAAAAAAAAAAAAAAAAAAAAAGAATAAACTGGGCACACACATCGTTCAACCACATATAATAAATCTATACACATATTTTGTTTTCAAACTTTTCATAGTTCTATAATGTAGATTAGAAGAAAATTCTTTGTTGTCTGTGTTATTTAAACATATTTCTTTTTTTTTATTTGTAACAATATTTAACTTTGCTATAATCTATACATTAAAAAAGCCTCTGTGCAAAATGGACTGAAAACATTGAACAGCTCCCTGAGAGTTTTTTCTTTGTACTTTAATCCTCCCATCTTTTCAGTGGCTGTAGTGAGCCTGCTTTTTGCTGTAGATCTTCTCAAATCTGGGTTGCAGTGTCACAACTGTCCATTATACTCAGTCCAGCAAGCGCTGTTTTTTTTGTTTTTGTTTTTTTCTTCATTCATCCATACCGCTTCCCGCGCCCCCCCTGCAATGGCATTGCGCCCCCCCCTAGGGGGCGCGCCCCACACTTTGGGAACCACTGCACTAGTCAGTTGTAACAATAGTTGTAGCTATTATTCCAGACATTTTGCTAAACACAGAGGCAGTGAGATTGGTGCTTAAACTATGAAGGAAATGGGCTACACAGAAAAACTCAGATGCAGAGAGTCGGGGGGTAATCTCTATGAGAAAGAAAAGCAAAGAACCGTTAGCTATGGTTTGGGCAGTGGCTCCTTCCAACAGATATGTAGCTAAACACAGAAACACTGACTAGGATTTCCTTTATAGGAATTGAATGCATTAAAAAGTGTCTTCATAGGTAATGAAATCACAAATGCTTATTTACAAAGGAGCTGGACAAAAGTTCCTGTCTTCTTGGAAACCATTTTACTTCTAAACCAGAAGGTATTTTCAGCTCTAAACATCCATGCGTCTCCCACCTTAGTATTTGTCAACGCAGCCCTTTAGATGTGAGGAAGATAAAACCTAAAGCCACATCCTCTGTCTGTTGGTGTTTGTACTTTCCCTCTTTCTCGCTTTGAAAGCATCCAAGCACAGATGGAGTACGTTGTTTTGATAGTGGTTTTTAAAGTAAAGAACACTATCAAAGACTGGTTATGTCAAAGGATAAAGCAAACAAACCAGCTCAGCTGTTCGATCTATCTAGTCCAGCAAAGCAAAGAACAACAGTCGATAAGCTAAATGGCAACTGCACCAAAACTCTTGAGACATCTCTTAGCGACAAGAATAAGCAGTTTAATATCTCAGGAACATGGGCTCCACCTTTAAGAACGTATTCACAGGTAAGACTGTTTATTCTACTCAGGAGGTTATGAAGCCTTCTGCGTTAGTAAGGCTAAAATGAGGTCACCTCAGGTTTCATCCATCTTACTGTACACCACAGCCATGACTCATCTCCCAAGGCAGTTTACAGCCTTTCACACCTTAAGACATGTGACCAAAACAGCTGTCACACCTCTAAGATAGCTTTTAGAACTGAATATAGCATGAGGCCGGTGTCTTGTGTGTCCGTAAAGACCCTAGTAATGACTACAGCTTATAAGCCTAATGGCCTAGTTTGTAGAATTGCAAAACATTTCAAATGAGTGAAGGATGTCATCTAGAAATAAAGGAAAACATTTACACTAATAATAAAGTTCTATCCGTGAGTTGAATCTGATTTGGGAACATCTGGTTAATGGTACAAATGGCAAAAAAAAAAAAAAAAAGAGGTAGACCTTAAATCAGTTGCAAGGAAAAAGAAACTGTTGATTTGAATAACTTTTAATTTGATTAAGAGATGCATGACCAGACACTGAGATTATGATCTTCTATGTGGACAGAAAGGAGAGGATTCAACTGAAAGAAATAATCTGTTTAATTGTGATTAATCTATTACTGAAATGACCAACTATTTGGGTCATTAACCTTCTGGACTATAAAGATTCTTCAACATGATATTTGCTTAAGAGTCACTCAGAAGTGATTGAGTCTGAATTGTATAAAAAATATAAACATTTTCTATTTATTATAAAAATTCTTATCTGTTAAGTTGCTTTAGGGGAAAAAAATCATATATATTAGGGCTTGGTGATAAACAAAAAATCTATTCACTTGATTTTCGGAGTATCACATTTTTTTCACCAAAAGCACACCTATCATAGCTTAGAGGGATGCCAGTTCATCACTTTGTTCTTTTGTGTTCTTTTAATTGATAAACTAGCCCTCTAATACCACCAGCTCCAGAGATTTAATGTTCTGTTTTTATCCTCTGTTGTGAAAAATGGTTTTCTTAGAAGCATGTTTTGCAGCTTTAAGTTAAGGTCAACTCCCAGAGAGAGAGATAGATGAGAGATAAGTGTAATCAAATATATTTTTGGAAAGCGATACATGTAATTTGTCATTATAAGAAACTTAAGTGAAAGGGGAAAAAAAATCGATCATTCTGATTTTTTAGGAAAACATTGACGATTACATTCCTAAGCCATATCACCAACCTATTCATCTATTCATTGCAGTCGATTTTTCCAAATAAATCTGAGATCCCCAAAGTTGGTCCTCACGGGCCCGCTCTCCTGCAGGTTTTAGAGGTTTCCCTGCTTCAGCACAGCTGATTCTGATGATTGCAATTCGGCAAAAGCCTGTTTATAAGCAATCAATGAAAATCAGCTGTGCTGAAGCACGGAAACCTCTAAAACCTGCAGGACGGCAGCCCTTGAGCACCAACTTTGGGCATGCCTGAAATAAATCAATTGGCTGCTTAAACTGTTTGTATTAAAATATGGATATATCGACCTTAATGATAAAATTAGAGGGGTTTTTTTGTTCGTAATTTAGTCATTTATCATTCAAAATTTACAATATACTCTGTTTTTCACTTCAAAATGTTTCTTTATTGGGAAATGTTAATTTGCTAAAAATATTTCCTTTTAAGATGTATTGATTTATCACAAAATGAATTGCTAGATTAACGTCTTCATAAAATAATCAATAATTGCAGCACTAGAGAGGATAGACTCTCATTGCCAGCAAAAGCTCTATCAGTGACTCCCTCTATGAGAAATAGACTCAAATGTGCTAAACCAGGAGTCTTTTCCATTGGAAAGAAAAACTGAGCTAGCGGCAGCAGGAATCACTAATATTGTGCTGTTGAAGGGGAGCAAAATAAATAAAATTTGCAAAAAGTGTTGAACAAGTCCTCAAGCGCTGAAAGCCTAAAGCAGCAAAACTATTTAGATTGTAAAGGATGTCTCAGTTTTAAGCTCATTCTCCTGTAGAAAACCAGGGAGTTTGTTCCACAGAAGCTGCTGTCTTTCTTTCAGCCCTTCTTTGTATCAGTACACATGTTGGTTTCAGTTTAACATCTCATCACCTGGAAAATATCTGATGATGCCCTTTATAATTTTTCTTTCACGATTTAATCTCGCCGTTTTGATGTCTGCGGAAGAGGCTGTGCATACTAATATAATTCAATCTTCTTCTGCAGCAGAGCAGTGATTTTCTGGTGTGAAATAATATTGACTCATCCCAGAGTTCATGCAGCAGTTCTCTGACGCGTCTTTGCACAGCACCAAAAAAAAAATAAAAAATTGTGGGCACTTTTAAGGACTTAACTCATTTGGCTGTGTTAATAATGCATCTCATTGAATAATTCATATTTCTGGAAGCTTTTAGATTTTTCTATCTATAATAATAAAACTGCATGTCTCCCCCTGCAGGCAGGCAAGGTGCGCAAGCATGTGTCTGAGCAGGAGAAGGCGGAAGAGGGTCTGGGTCCCAACATCAAGTCCATCGTCACCATGCTGATGCTGATGCTGCTGATGATGTTTGCCGTCCACTGCACCTGGGTGACCAGCAACGCCTACTCCAGTCCCAGCGTTGTGCTGGCGTCATACAACCATGACGGGTGAGAGCTGCAGAAGTGAAGATTTAATAACTGCCACTACCTAGGTTCCCAGTGGTGGTTCACAATATAGGAAGACTGATCCAAACACACCTTGCAAATAAGCTCAAAATGCATAGACAGGGCAGCACAGAGCTGTGGGTTCTTATTGGTGCATGTATATTTCATGAGGTGTATGGAAATACTGATGTCATCGTAAAATCCGATAAGTCTGTTTAACATAGTTTCTCCAGGTTACAGCAAGCACATGTAGACCTTCTGTGAATGAGTTAAACAGCTCATATTCCTCTCTCTGAAATGCTTCACTGGCCTAATTATTTTTTTGAAGCCCGAAGGAAGAAATATTGAAGGTTAAATGTTAGATCCACAAGTTCTCATGCATATATTTATGACATTACAGTAGGTGCACAGACAATACTTTAATCATGCTATTCTGAGCTATGCCACTGTCAGGTATGCTTCCTTGTTTTGGATGCATGCATACCAACAACAACTTTAGTGAAATTAAAGACTTGTCTTTTATAACTAATGATTTCTTACTTGATTAGGAACAGATTATCTTATTCTTATTCATAGCTTTGCCTAAATCTCTTATTTTCCAGATCAGGGTAACACAGTATTTTCTTCAGACGTGAATGTCCTTCTAATTTTTACATTCTGTTGTATCTGTTATTTTTACATTCTGTTATATTAATGGAAACTGTCAGGTGTTTAAATGTTTTTTTTGTTTGTTAAATAAATTCCTTCTTAGTAAAAATCAATTTACCTTTCAGAAAAACAAAGCTAAACAAACAGCCAGAGCTGCAATAAGGGGGTTAGATGAAGGTATGTTTGTATCAGAGTGGCGTAGTCAAAGTTAGACCTAAGTCAAGTTAAGCATATGAGCATGTTTTAAAATTAGATATTAATGGGTGCTTTCTATCCATGTATACATGTAGCAGAGATGTTTTTACAAAAGATGGGTCAATTCTTTAAATTGTTAGTTGGGCAAATGTGGCGAAGAAGCACCTCTAAAGGCCTCCAGCTCAGATTGCATTGAAGCATTTTCTGCACATTTTGAATTCAGGGTGTTAAGCAAAAATATGCATCAGTTTTTTGATTTTGAGGGGAAAAAATACAATTTTTCTTGGCTTATCTTATAAACCTCATGTCCGTACTACAACAAAATGTAGAAATCTAAATAGATAACAGATACTTGCAGTAGGCCTGTTGAGGGGGATTACTTTTTAACTTTTTTTTTTTTCCTCTCCTACTTTAGGACTCGAAACATCCTGGATGATTTCCGGGAGGCTTATTACTGGCTGAGACAGAACACCGACGAACATGCACGTGTGATGTCTTGGTGGGACTATGGCTACCAGATAGCCGGCATGGCTAACAGGACCACCCTGGTGGACAACAACACATGGAATAATAGTCACATAGCGCTGGTAAGACCTCTTTTTTCAACTTATCATTCTATTATCTTTTTGCTCAGATAAACACAGGGAAACCAATGTCTTCTTACAATTGAATCATCAGCAGATCTTAAGTTTTTGTCTAATTGAAACATTACGCATCATCACTTGTTTGAACTAGAATTTTCGCTGTAGGAAAAGTCATCAATTGAGAGTCAGATTTCCTTGCTTTGATTTATTTTTCCAGCCCTAAACAATAAAATGCAGACAAATGTTTTTATCTCTTAGTTAAATCTTAAAGCCCTGCAGCTCCGCTCTATCTTGTTTTCTACCTGCTGCCTCGTCTCTGCGGCGTCTGTCCACAGGAAATGAAATTACAAGGAACACATGATTGTATTTCTGTTCAATAATTCTCCTTTCTGCCCCTGCAGAATTGAAACGGTGCGTCTTTTCAAAACAAGAAACCCCAATTAAAGTCTAACTTCAGCTGTCAATGCTTTCAGGTGGGGAAGGCCATGTCTTCCAATGAGAGCGCAGCCTATGAGATTATGAGGTCACTGGATGTGGATTACGTGCTGATCATCTTCGGAGGAGTAATCGGCTACTCTGGCGATGATATAAACAAGTTCCTGTGGATGGTGAGGATCGCTGAAGGGGAGCACCCCAAAGACATCAGGGTGAGTGATGGAATAGAGACCTGCTGTGTGAGAGATGGATGTTTACTGTTAAAAGAAAATGGTCGGAATAATGCAGCAAACTGGATGTCAGACAATTATGGTAATTCTAAAGGATGTTATTAGATTTATTTAAATGAGGGTAGTTGCATCCCTGCACACAGACAGTCTCAAAAATAGGACATACTTTTGGAAATAATTCAGCCTCAATGGAGGTTTTAGGGTAAAGGTAGATTTGAAGCTGCCTTTCATTATTATAGATCAGCTTTAAGCAATACTTCGAAAATCACGATTCAGTTTGTTAACCCTTTGATCAACAAGTGTAACGAGAAAAAACTTTGAGGTTCTTAAACTTTTTCTGAGGAATAAATGTACTAAAAGTAAAGTTTACTATAAATAGTTTACCATTTATGCTTAAAACCATAAATTACAAGCTAAATGTCAATATTTCATCTCACTTTTGCATTAAATGTTTTACTAAGATGTAAGAAAAGCAAATAATCAGCAAAACTCATACATTTTTCATTTTAATAAAAAGTGTAATCAAGATTTGCTGATTCTTTTGCAGATCAGTAAATCTTGTTTAAACTAAATGAGCCCAATGATAAAACTAAGAATTAATATTTTGGTTCTTCAGTGCTTCTTGAAGTTTTCACCAAACAGCCAGATTCCACGTTTTATTGGTTTTATTAATGTTTCCTTTTGTTTTTCAGGAGAGTGACTACTTCACTCCTCAGGGAGAGTTTAGAGTGGACAAGGCCGGCTCACCGACTCTGCTCAACTGCCTCATGTACAAGATGTCGTACTATCGATTTGGCGAGATGCAGGTGAGGGACAAACGTCTACAAAAAAGTCATTTCAGCAGATCATTTCTTTACCACCTGGGGCACGGGTTAAGTCTCAGGAACAATTCCCCTCCTAGGAGATTCCTTTTTATTGGTGTTATGATCCACTTCATTCTTACAAATAATGAGCTCCAGTTCGGTGGCACAATGAAAAACTAACAAGCAGCTGCCATCGCCAATCAAAGACAGAAGCACCACTCTGTTTTATAGTACACAGTTTCAGCAGGAAATAACAGGTATCTGTCAGCACTAAAGGTGAAGGATTCCTGCCACTGAAGTTTCAAAGCGGTGCCGGCTGACAGGAAGGGATTTTAAAAGGAATTGCTTCAGGGGGCATGTGGTGTCAAAGGCTGTCAGAGGAAATATGAGGGATTGGTGGAAGCTTTTTAAAAAATCTGTCAGAGCTTCTCATGGCAGATTTTGGGTGGAAAAATGGGATATCCGCCCTGCTAGGTGCTCGCATCCCTGCTATAAAGGCCGCTCGGCCAAAACTGGGTGAATCAATGCAGCTGCAGACCACAGAGAGAGAGAGAACATCAGCTGAAGCTCAGAGCACAAAGTCAAAACAGACACACTCTGATTTCAGGATGTAGGGAGAGAGTCTGGGGAGCAGATTAGGTTTACAGAAATAAGATGAGCCCAAGATAACAGAGATGTGAGCGCATCACAGGGATAAAAAAAAAAAAAAAACACTCATTTTCCTAACATTATATTCTAAATATTACTCCTTACATATATGGACTTACAGCTCCAGCTCCTTTTATTGACGCCTACGGTGAAAATGTGTAACAAGACTAAATACACTAGATTCCTTTTCTGTTGCAACAAGATGATCTCGGATGGAAAAATGTATTCAGTTGGAAAAGAAAAATCATATTTTTACTAAAAGCTTCAATATTTAATAATATCGTAGCTTTTTGTATTTATCGTAAGGATGGAAAATGTGAAAATGAAATGTTTTGATTTTTAAAGCAGCTGCATTATGACTAAAAATGAATCACAGTTTTTATTAGAGTCTAAGGAAAATAACCCCTCCCACTATCTGATCGGCTGCTTAACTGCAAAACGTAATTAGCAGCACAGCTGTAACGCCTCTTTAGCTACAATTAAATTCACTTATAAAGGGCCCTCCACCATTATTGGCACCCCTGTCTAAGATGTAAAATCAGATGTGTGATTTTATTTTTACCACCAAAGTAATGTGATTAAATAAAATTTTGGGTTTTTCTCCCTTTTTGCATTTGGGTTCTATGTTGTATAATAAAATAATTTTTAGAAGTCCTCGACCACGTCTTGAACAGGGGTGCCAATAATCGATGGGCACATGTCATTTCAAGGCACTTTACAGAGACAAAACTGTCAGATTGGTTTTGAAAACCAGTCTGATGACCTTGTGGCGACGATTGTATTGTTGTTGACTCTTCAGCAATCCCTTAGGGGAAGCATGCATGTAGAGACGGTGGAGAGGAAAACTCCCTTTTAACTGTAAGAAACCTGCAGAACCAGGCTCAGTGTGGGTGGCCATCTGCCGAGGCCGACTGGGGTTCAACGAGAAAGAAGCAGACATACAGAAAGATGCAGATATACAAAAGGTAACTGTTAAGAAGCTCTACAGGTCCATGAAAGGCACAGCCAGACAGACGAGCTCCAAGCTAGTTCTTATGTCAGAGGATGAAAGAGACCACATGCATACAGTTAGTCACAGCAAAAGAAACAGGAACAGGAGTGAAAAATAGGGCAAACTCCAACATTTATAATGAAACATTTTGATAGCAGCCTAGCTAATGTTTCAATCAAGGATGGAGTCACAGTTGAACAGACAGATCAGATGAAGCTGCTATGATGAAAAACAGCAGAGGGAACATAAAGTTATCAGTTGAACTAATGAATACAGCAGAGCAGGAGAATAGAGATAGAATGTGGGAAAGTGGTCCCCACCCCCTCCAGCAGCCTGAACATATAGCAGCATACACTCACCGGCCACTTTATTAGGTACCCCATGCTAGTAACGGTTTGGACCCCCTTTTGCCTTCAGAACTGCCTCATAGGCATAGATTCAACAAGGTGCTGGAAGCATTCCTCAGGGAGTTTGGTCCATATTGACATGATGGCATCACACAGTTGCCGCAGATTTTTCGGCTGCACATCCATGATGCGAATCTCCCGTTCCACCACATCCCAAAGATGCTCTATTGGATTGAGATCTGGTGACTGTGGAGGCCATTTGAGTACAGTGAACTCATTGTCATGTTCAAGAAACCAGTCTGAGATGATTCCAGCTTTATGACATGGCGCATTATCCTGCTGAAAGTAGCCATCAGAAGTTGGGTACATTGTGGTCATAAAGGGATGGACATGGTCAGCAACAATACTCAGGTAGGCTGTGGCGTTGCAACGATACTCAATTGGTACCAAGGGGCCCAAAGAGTGCCAAGAAAATATTCCCCACACCATGACACCACCACCACCAGCCTGAACCGTTGATACAAGGCAGGATGGATCCATGCTTTCATGTTGTAGACGCCAAATTCTGACCCTACCATCCGAATGTCGCAGCAGAAATCGAGACTCATCAGACCAGGCAACGTTTTTCCAATCTTCTATTGTCCAATTTCGATGAGCTTGTGCAAATTGTAGCCTCAGTTTCCTGTTCTTAGCTGAAAGGAGTGGCACCCGGGGTGGTCTTCTGCTGCTGTAGCCCATCTGCCTCAAAGGTCGACGTACTGTGCGTTCAGAGATGCTCTTCTGCCCACCTTGGTTGTAACGGGTGGTTATTTGAGTCACTGTTGCCCTTCTATCAGCTCGAACCAGTCTGGCCATTCTCCTCTGACCTCTGGCATCAACAAGGCATTTCTGCCCACAGAACTGCCGCTCACTGGATGTTTTTTCTTTTTCGGACCATTCTCTGTAAACCCTAGAGATGGTCGTGCGTGAAAATCCCAGTAGATCAGCAGTTTCTGAAATACTCAGACCAGCCCTTCTGGCACCAACAATCATGCCACGTTCAAAGTCACTCAAATCACCTTTCTTCCCCATACTGATGCTCGGTTTGAACTGCAGGAGATTGTCTTGACCATGTCTACATGCCTAAATGCACTGAGTTGCCGCCATGTGATTGGCTGCTTAGAAATTAAGTGTTAACGAGCAGTTGGACAGGTGTACCTAATAAAGATGCTGATGAGTGTAAATATAGAAAATAACTCGGGGTAACCTAATTATTTTGGATGAAATATGAAAAAGCTTAAACCAAAGAGAAACGTCTGTTTCAGGATATTTTGAAATACAGGTTTTTATTAATGCTGCCATGAAACCAGCAGCTTAAACGTTAGATGGAGGAAAATATGCAAACGAATTTGAGGTCTGCAAGTCTTCTTGTATTGGTTTCATTTGCAGTTTGAAACATAAGTGAGTTGTTAACAAACATCACAAAATGTGATTTAATGAAAGAAACTTTATCAATTTCATAAGTGTAGTGAGTAAAAGTAGGCAAAACTACAATGAAACAATGATGGTAATATTTTTTATCTTTTAAAAAGTGCAATGTAGAAACAGGAGAAACAAAGATGAGATTGGGATTTTCCAATAAATGTGACTGCTACTGTGCTGTTTGTGTCACGAAATCTGCTCTCTGAGGCAGACAGAGGATGAAGTAAATACGCTGTAAATGTGGCCCAGAAAAGGAAAAGTTGTGTCTGGAAAAGAGGAAATATGAGAAAAATACAATGTTGAACAGAAGCTCAGAAGAAGGAAATGGGAAGGACACGGTAACAGTAGCTGCGTCTGAAGGACGAAGCGTCAAGGACTTTCAGAGCCGAGTAACAGACACAAGAGGTTGTTTGAGTGGCTCAAACAAAAACTTTAATGGATTTGTTGCTCAAGGGGAAACTCCACAGCGTTATCAAAGAGCTGTTAAACACAATGTTTATCTTTTATAATTAAGTTTCAGCTGTTTCTTTTATATATTAATCGGAGCTATAAAACTGGGCAAGCAGCTTTGGGATGCAACTTTATTGAAAAGTTTTACTTGCTTTGTTTTCGTAAAAAACTAGATGAATAAATTTACATTAATGTGACTCTAGCTTGATGTGTGGCTGCAAAGATCGCTGGTTCAAAATTCAGACTCCCACTTTGGGCAAGATCTTTGTCCTGAGCGACACTTAGTGCCAGGAAGGGTTTATTTTGTTAAACACTTTCTGATGGTGTCTGTGAAAGGGGTTGTGTAAATAAGTTTTTTTTCTTATCTTTTCTCTCCCAGCTGGATTTCAGAACCCCACCTGGCTTTGACCGAACGCGCAACGCTGAGATCGGCAACAAGGACATTAAGTTCAAGCACCTGGAGGAGGCATTTACCTCTGAGCACTGGCTTGTCAGGATCTACAAGGTGAAGGAACTGGACAATAGGGAGACACTGGACCACAAGATCCGCAGCGTGGTGACCAAGCAGAAGTACACCTCCAAGAAGGTATCTGTTCTAACATACTTTTCATCTTGAACAAGAAATAACCATTTTTGATAAAACATTTACATGATCTCCTGAAATACTGTTCGTTATAAATGGTTGGCAGTGTATAGGTTGACTGAGTTTACTTTATCGTCTCTGAACAGACTGCGAAGAGGAAGCGAGGACACATCAAGAACAAGCTGGTCCTGAAGAAGGGCAAGAAACTCCCCAAAAAATAAAGATGGCTCTGAACTCACACGAACGTAAAGAAACCTCCAACAACCAATGATGAAGAACACAAGGGGCGGCCAGGTGCCTGGCACTTGGTCAGGAGCGCTTCTCGTTAATACGCCCTTGTTTATCGAGGGAGCGTCATATCCGGCCTGACCAGAATCGTTGTCCGTTTTATCCTGAGGACTTCTGTCTTGCTTTTTTTTGTTTGTTTGTTTTTGTTTGTTTTCTGTTTGTTTTCTACTTTTTACTTGAATGTGGCGAGGCATAGGGCGGCTCTGATTGATTAAAAATCTTTTTTGTGTGTGTGTGTGTGAGTGTGTGCGTGTGTTTAAAGGGGTTGTTAATGACTTGATTATTAGTCAGGAGATAGTGTGATCCATTGGAAGATGAGGAACGTTTGCACCAAAGACCCATCAACCTGGCTCCATAGCACATGGGAAGTCATTGCTAAGAGCGAGGGAAACGCCGGAATGAAAGCTGAGGAACTTGTTCCTGACGCGTGTACAGAGAACAGTATGCGGTATGGAGGAACGCCACCGTCTACACACAGCACATCTGTAATATTAACCTTTTTACCATCCTCATCTCCTTAACGTCTGGCTGGCTCTTTTGTTCTCCACAGATTCTCTAACCAATTGGCCTAATATGTAAATACCTTCTGTAAAGACACAAAAAAGCTCTAAAATGATGGTAATATATTGGATCATTGTGATTTTTAAATGCAAATTTCTTGGTTTTTCTTTGTCTTTTTTATAGGACAGCAAGTAGAACAGTGAATGCAATAATCATACACAAGAGTGGGGGGGGTACTTCAGATCATGTTGGAAGAACGAATTTGAATGTTAGATTTTTTAACATCTCCCCTCTTTTATTCCACAGCTTGCATTGACTGTACATTTCTGTTTGGGTTTTTAAGGCGGAAGCAAGAAAACGTAAACAAATAAACAAAAAAAAATAGGTAGTGATTTCAAATTAGGCCTTCAGGGGGAGCTCTTGATTGAGTAAAGCCTAGTTATATCGCCGAACTCTAACTTGCCGTTTACGATTTGTTTTTGTTTGTTTTTTTTGCTCGTCATGCATCTGCTGCTGACCACACATAGTGATGACTTTGTTTTTTAAATCTGGAAATCAACCTTAATGTGAAATAGGTTTTTGGTGTAGACTGGACGAAGACGGATGTCTGAGTAGATGGAGTGACATTCTATAAACCAGGAGGGGAAAATTATTGACAGAGCTGTGTCCTAATACTATGCTGCATACTTATCCTCAGCGTCGATGTTGGATTACATCAGATGGGCAAAAAGAGGAGATAACTGTTCCACAAAGTCTTTGGGGGTTGTTGTTTTTTTTCCAGTAAAATATTTGTAGAACGAAATAAAATCCTTTTCCATCATAAAATCATAACTTGCAGGAAAATTTGTTTTTTGTGAATGTAAACGAAAATTCAAGGGCAATTTTAGACAAATGCATAAATCATTCTTTTATTTGTAATCATTCTTCTGCGGCTGAGGAAATTTGTAAAAAGTAAATAAAATGATGTAAAAAGAGGATAGATTTTGAGAATTTATTTCACCAAACCTTCTGAATTACCAGTGATAAATCTTTTTCAGCATTACAGTATTCAAACCTTCATGTTTCTGAGCAACTTTTCTTGCATGATTAACTGTAATTCTGATTATATACAAAGTTTTATATATAAGTGTTTGAGGTTGGAAGAGCCCCTCATCATCACCCTAATCTTAAACTCCCACCACAGATTATCTAATTAAAGTCTGGACTTTGCTTCAACCACTGAGAACATTTTCACATCTAAATAACCCTGCTGGACAAAACTGCAGCTCCCAGAATGCATCATTCCCCCCCAAACCAGCACAACCTGCTTCATGTTAACACACCATGATGGAATGTTGCAAATTAACCGAAGGAGAGTTAAATTATTTGTACCTTATAAACTATGCACATTATGCACTCTCTGTTTGGTTTAGAGGAATATTCGTCACAGCAGAGGCTAATTATTAGGGCTTAAAATGCAAAAAGACGGTTTAGAAAGTTATGTTGACATTAGTAAAAATTTCTCACTGACAGGTGATGCTATAATGTAAAGAAAAAACCTGATAAATTTGCGCAGACAAACAGTGGATAGCAGAGATTCAGCCCTAGCCTTTCCAGAAACTGTCCTCTTCTGTCAGCTGTCTTCTGTTTCCTGAAGTTTTTTGTTTTTTCCCCCTAAAAGAAACTTTTTTAGTTGGCTGAGGATAAATCTGCTCTCTTCACAGTTTTAAATCTTTGCATCTCCTTCATTTGCTGAGTTGATGGCCTTAAGTTATACCTACCTACTCAGTTTTGGCCAAAAACTGTCCCCTAATGGATCCGTTTTGCCCTGATCTTTCCATTAACAGGATAATTTTAAAATAAATTTCATATAAAGTAAATCTACATGTATTTGGATATATATGTGTAAAGGAGGTTGAATGAAAAAGCACAACAGACTTTAAGCATTTAAGAGACATTTTAAAACCTACCATCACTGCTCTGTGTTGATCATTATTTATTTTAGCCAAGCAGACAACAAACAGGTGTAGAATTATAACAGTTTTCCACTGAATCAATAAAGAAAGATGCATCAGCTGGATTGTGCCGTACGGCTTTGGGACACAGCTCTGACCCTGCACTGTTTGCTCATGTCGACAAAAACTGAAAGGGGGATTTATGCACGCTTTGGGAACGTTTTTCTGTTTTCTTTCAAACCAGAGACACTCTCCTGTCTTTGCTTTGTTCCATCACACAGAAATTAACTTTTTTTTTTTTATGTTTCTGAATCAGTTTGTTGATTTTTCTGACTGTTATCATCAGAGGCTTTAGGCTGCTGGAACGGGGACATTTGGACGCGTCGTTGCACTCTACCTGTCCTTTGGGGTCACCTTTGTAAAGAGAGGACAGAGTTCAGATTAAGCCTTAATGTGATGTAATTTTACTTTTCCTTATGTGATCATTTTTCCTTAAATCTTCTTAAATTGTTGCTTTTTTTTTTGGCTCTGTGCGGTTCTTCCTGGACTCTTTTCGTTCGATGCAGTCTCCAACTTGTCCCTGCTCACCTTCAGAGTTTACATCTTGTTCAGTTGTGCCACCTCTAAATATACTCCTAAAGGAAGACAGCCATGCCTGTGTGTGATGTTTTATTTATTTATGTGATTATGTTTATTAGTTTTTCCTCTGGAGGTTTTTATTCTAAAAGCCAGATGAGGGCAAACTGAACCACTTGATGGCAGCATTCACCTTTAACTACAGATCTGTCTTTGGGAGGAATGATGGGGTTTTCCAGGGAAATCATATTCCTGGTTACATTCCTGATCCAAACTAGAAGCTTCTGAGATGAACCGTTACATAAGCAGTGTGATGATGTGACTGTTTTTTTCTCGTTGCGTACAAATCTGAAATGTCGTCATTTTCTGGATCAGTAAGAGGAATAATGATTATGGAAGAATTCTACTTAAGACTTTCCTGCCCTAATATCTAAAAGTGGCGTATCCATCCATGTGTCAGTCTGCCCTTCATCCCTCCTTCCTTCATCCATCAGTTTCTTTCTTTCATCCATCAATCAGTTTGCCCTTCATGCATCAGGCCATCAGTGCTTCTGGCCAGAGGTTCATCAGTTTCTTTGATATGTGTTTTCCATCGGTTCCTTTCATCTGTCAGTCAGTTTATATATGTCCATCTTTCCTTCCTGTCTGATTTTTTTTTAAAATGTGTCTAAAGAGTTCTGTATTAAGCTTTAGATTTTTGTCCCTTTTTTCTTATATATAGTTTTATTTTAGAAATGGGCAGTAATAATTTCATTAGGTAAATTCTCTTTTTATATTCAGGAATTCTGGTGGGAAAAAAAATGGGTCTTGGGTTTTCCTGCGTATTTCGGATTCATCGGCTCTAACAGCTGCTTTAAAGGAACCGATTAGTCCTTCTGTCCCATCAGGTTCTGTTAATCATCCACCGAATTCAGTGAATCATGCTGAGAACTGATCGGAGAAACTCTGCCCCAAGTAAACAATCCAGGAAGTCTATGAAAATCTCTTTATTGTCCCACATTGGGGAAATTAACTCTCTGCATTTGACCCGTCCCCTTTGGGAGCAGTGGGCTACCATTCTGTGGGGCCAGGGGTTTTGCTTAGGGACCCAGAGTGCAGGCTGGAGGGGGATCAAACCGGTTACTTGTAACCTCAGAGCCATCAGTATGTTTGAGTCGCAGGATCGATTGTTCTGCAAGCAGAACCTGAAAGCGAATGTTTAGGATCGGGTCTAAATTTTAACCCACTTTTCAACATTGAACTGTAAAATGTAACTGATTCTATTTGCCTTTTCCTAAGATTTTTGCTTTCTCTCAGTATTGAGGCCTCTGCTGGGTAACATCTTGCTACGACCCATTTCACTGCTGAGAAATTCTGCCTCTCCTGCAGATGTTGCTGCAGGAACAAGTCTGCTTTCAGACGCCGACAGCTCAGAAACAGAACTGAGGCTCTTTCATGTCCTTTAAACCTTGAATCTCCTGCCGTCCCCCTCAGGTATGAGTACACAGAGAATATATCTCTGGACCACTTTTAATAATGAGACTCTAAATCATGAACTGATTCTGGGGTTAAAATCCACCCAGTCATTTAGTTTGGTTCTGTTCTGACAAAATGAAGCTTTTATCATCAGAAGAGAAGATGATGGGAAAAAATACTTAGGACTTTTTCTGACTAATTTTATATTTTAGTCTGGTTTTACCTCCTAGATAAAAACAAAGTTATGGATCCTTATGAAGTGGGGGGGAAATTATACACAGTTTAATAATTAACAGATTAAACACTTTTTTAGATTATTAGAGCTGAATAACCATATGTCTTATAGACTTTAACTGTGGGCAGAGAGCAGAAAGCTACTTCATCTGTTAGCGAGGGTTGAACATGTGGGGATAATTGAAAACATGGTTATAAAAAAAAAAAAACATCCTACAATAAACAGATCATTTTATACTGAACCAGATCTGTGGTGTGAAGAAGACTTCAGGCCCAGTCTACTGCAGACAGGTTTTCTTTGAGAATCGCCCTGATTTTCCTTCCTTCTGTCACTTCATCGCTTCTGACCAGCTCCTCTCACTATGCTGAGGAACCGCCCCGCCCAGCTGCTAACGCAATATCCCCATGGAGACGCTGTTTTCCACTGACAGGACCTCTTCTAAAGAGCAGAGGATCTCTGCAGCTTCACATTTAGCATTAACCTCTGTGTCTTAATGAAGCAGTGCATCAATGGCCATTAAAGATTAGAATAAATCACAACCAGACGGACTCTAATTAGTGACATCTGATGGTAATTACTGCCATTGGTTGACTTAAAAGTATATTTGTAAAAGGAGCAGAAATACAAATAGAAAGGAAGGAAGGAGCTTATAGACAATTTGTAGGAAATAAAATTATAGTTCTATGCTTTTTGAGTTAATTTGCTCATAAACTGCAAAAAAAATAAAAGCTGTTGCAATGTTTTAATCTCTTTTTATTTTATAAAATCTGGAAGTTGGCCACATAGTTTGTCTGCTGCTATTAACTGGTACATATCATCCTCTCCCCGTCCAGTCGGCTTCACCGGTCCCCTGTGGTTGTTGTTCCAGTAGACGCTCCTCTCACCTTCACAGGCAGCCTTCCAGCAAACCCCCGCATGTAAGGAACAACAGAGTTGCTGCAACCCGCCTCATCCATATTAATAGACATGGGCAACCTAAAGAGAAGCATGAAGTGGAGCAGGCCAAGGCTGTGTGTATGTGAGGCTGCTGCTGCCTAATTACACCAGTGTCATCTTGGGGTTACAGATACAAAACACACCAAGTGGACCCAGGAGCTTTGAGCCACAAATCCCACCAGAAAACATGTGTTGTAGCAATATGAGAGGTAGTAATGGAAAATATTCAGTTTGGCAGCTGTTATTTTTTTTTCCACTGAGTGAGATAAATGAAGTTGTCCAAAAAGAGGAAGAAAAAAAAAAGGAAACATGTAGAATCAATCAATACGATTACAGTGATTAGTATTTAAATGTGCCCAGATACATTCAGAGTGCAGACAAGAACAAACTGGACCGTTTGCTGTAAAATACTGTGTAATAATATATACTAATTGAAGTCACTCAGACATTTTCTCCTGTAAAGCTCTGGGAGTTCAAAGCCACTGTGACGTATAAAATAGTAGATTTTTCTCTGATAAAAGTGCTTCATTGACAGTCATTTCCAGCTACAGTATGGTGTGTTACAGAAGACTTGATCTGCTTTAAAGCTTCAACACTGATGATCAGTCAGACTAATACAAGTGCTAATTGTCGTCACTGTGGGAAGGAGGGACATCGAAGGCCTTAGTAAAGTGAAAAATAGAAATATTCTACTTTGACTAGCAGGACTATAAAAGTGTTCCTCTGTCCCGAGGGTTCCCTAAGCTCGCTCCGTTGGTTGGAACTGAGGAAATCCCTTTGGCACCTCGCTTGCTTTGTTTGTTTCCACAGCCTTTGAATCTGAAGGTCTGCGGAGGAAAACGCTTTGATCCCCGGCCTCAGTTTGGAGTCTGGAGTTTTTATCCTCGTGAGGCGCGTTGTTCCGATGTCAGGTGGACTTCCACAGCGGGCTGTTGTAGATCCAACCCTCACCCTGCACACAACACAAACCACATATTGATGTCCACACTATTAGAAGATCGTCTGACATTAAAACCAGCTTTCATTTTTGGGTTTAGGTCAGTTAGGATGTTAGAATTAATTTGAATTTCATCAACTCCAGACAGACTTAAATATTTGGTTGAACAGTGACTGAGAGTATATGTTAATTTTTTTGGGTGCGATTTGCTGTGATTATAGTTCCTTTCCTTCTTACTGAACTGCTTTTTCAGTTCCGCTGTCGGGTTTTCTATGGAACTGAGGTCAGAACTGTATGATGGCCACTTCCCTGAGGCAACATTGTAAGAAACATTGATGTCTTCCGACGGCCACTTTAAAGACCCATTTGTCTCCATGTATAAAGTCCAGAAGTCCTACTGCAGCAAACCATCCCCATAACATGATACTGCCACCACCATACTTTACAATCATGCTTGCCAGCTTCCTCCATTTATTTTCTATTTTTGTTTTACTGAAATAAAAATATGAAAATTTTCCTCCCTGAGTGACTGAATTAGGAAGCAAGAAGGTAAACTACTAATACCCTCAGTCAGAAACACCTTCTGTTACATCTGGAAGAAAAATTGAAGTTTGCTAACTTAAGAACACCTTCATAGCTGTAGGGTAGAGAGGTGGTAGCATCATATATGGGTGTTGGAGGAACTGGTTCTTAAAAGGGTTCTTTCAACCATATGTTGGGGACAAATGGATCTTCCCAAGGAGTAAAGACCCTGATTTTACTTTTTGAATTTGTGGCTTTAGGACAATAAAATCAATATTTCAGAGCAGGGATGTCAGAAGCCATGGAGAGTCCCTGTCCTGCACCTTATAGATGCTCCTCTGCTTTAACACTGAAAGATTCAGGTCCTCTGCAGGACTCTGGAGATCTTGACTTCCAGTGAGGAGGTAATTAAACCCTTTTTATTCAGGTGTTTAACCAGGGAGATGTGTAAAAGCCAAAGGATATGAGGAATGGAATTTCTTCCTGTTTTAGTGTTCAACACATGATGCTAAGGAGGGAATCCATCCGTGAGACCAGGCCTCAGGGTGGTAAACTTCACTACGATGCAGTTAAGGCTTGCTTGGACTACAGGGAGGAAAGGAGCATCTAGCTCAGCTATACCACCTAAATTAATTTTAGCTTTATAGAGCAGTTCATTCTAAATACACAGCAACACCTCTGCAGTGAAGCAAACGGCTCATCAGAAAGTTTATTTTAATGGACAGATTCTAAGCTGCTCCTGTTTCTCGTTGTAAACAGTTTATCCTTTATTATTTTTCCTTGACTGACCTACTGCTGCCATTCGCTGTTTTTTTGTTTCAGATTGCTCCAGTTTTCTTAAAAGTTCTGCCAGCTGAAGGCCATCATCTCCCTCCATCGTTGCTCTTTAGGCAAGTTGTTTGTTTTGTTTCTAAGATGATTTTGGCTGACTAGAGCAATAAAACATAACTTATTAGCTCTATTTGCCCCCTGAGAACTTCTCCAAACTGAAAATATTTAACATGCTGTCTGATGCAGGGAACAAACTGCTGAAAACAACTAGAAACCAAAATATCCAAACTGTCCCTTTTAAGCAAACACCCAAACTCTACGGTTCAGTTAGATTCAGTACCTCTTTAGTGAAGTATTTTGGTTTCCAGGGTTTGTTATCGGCTATTCTCTTCCTCTCCTCCACCCTCTGACTCTCCTCCAGCCGATGTTTGTGCTCCGTGGCCAGGTCCATGTTCCCTTCCTTCAGAGACTTGGTGACATGTTGCCATAACCGCCTGCAGACCAGGAGGAAACAGGACAAAACAGCACTTCAGAGTAAATCTTCTCAATGGACAACTGAAGGCCACGTCTCGTGTTCCTTAGTTTTCGGTTGTACTTTCTGGTTGCTATGAGCCAACAGGAAAACGTCCTGTTTCCCTTTGAAATTGACATTTTTAAAAACTTTACTATACTACTGCAATTACTATTTAATATCCTGTGCAATAATCCTGTTAAATATGTATATATGAACCTTTTCCTTCTTTTTGGCGCCTTCTTTTGACTATTGAGCCGAGTGAATTTCTCCACGGTGAGAATCAAGTCTATCTTATCGTAACAGAATAACTCAAGTCTAATAAAAGATTTCCTTCACTCCCACTTCATCCAGTGTCACATATTGATGCAGTTATAAGACTTTCCTGCTAGTTAACATAATCCTCCTGTCGGAAATATAATCAGGTCTGATCTTTGGTCTCTGCACAGAGTTCAATAGAGAATCTGAGGCAAGACGGAAAATCTGACTGAGCCTATAAAGGGCAAAATAAGCCCAGGTGGTTCTACAGAGTGCTGACTCAGGAAGGCTGAGAACAAACGAACGTCATGCATCATTAATTATGGACAATTTGGAGTTGGCGTACCCACACAATCCCTATAACGTAAACTAAAGGTTGTAGTTTTAAATTCTAAAAGGAAGAAATTCCCAAAGGTTTATATAATCCCAGTGTTCTAAATGTGAATTGTTTCAGTGACTGGAAGGCGGTTTGTTTTCACCTGGACTCCATCCTGCCCTGCCTCTCAACGGGCCGCAGCTTCTTCCTGGTGACGGGGAGTTTGGACGTGTCGATGACCTTGGTTTCCCCGCTGCTGTAGGTGAACTCCAGCGTGCCGTTCCACTCGCCCTGGGCCTTGCACACGATGGTGTTTGTCAGGTTGTGTTTCACCTCTGCTGTCACCCTGTAGGTTGAATAATAAAAAAATATATATATACTTCAGAAAATAGAGATTTTTAGCTATTCTATTAAATGAACCATTAAGATTCATGAAGCAGACATGATGTACAAAAATGACCGGACTGCATAATTTAGATGGATGTTTGAGGATTTCCAGATTTTAAACCTGGTGTTCATTTAAGCTACTTAACTTTGACTTTTGACTCATTTAGACATTAAGCACTCTTAGATTCAGAGAGTTTTTCTGTTAATTCCTTGTTGATCCCAGATGGAAATGGATCTTTGCTTTAGGACACTTAAATCAACATTTAAATTACCCACAGTCGAAACCTACAAAAAAAAAAAAATTCTCTCCACATTAAATCAGTCTAAACCTTCCCCATCTGGGGGAATAGTAGGTTTTGCAGAGGCATTGTGCATTAGTGCAAATGCACCAAAGTTAGCCAACATAATACTTTTTATCTGCAGTTATATAGCAGGTCACATGAACTGCAAAAATATTAAATCTAAGCAAGTTTTTTTTCTAAGATTAAGTGCATTATTTTCTTGAATTGAGCAGGTGAGACGCTTTACCAATTTACGATTAAAATAAGAAAAAACAACTGCAGTCTCTGATTTTAAGGGATTTGGCAGGTCATCTATAGTAGCTATTCTAGGGCTGTAAACATCCCATTTCCAGGAGGAAACATGAGGCGTTTCTGCAAGTACTTTCTGAGAAAAAGAGTCAATTTTAAGACATAATCGTGTTTTCAATATTTTCCTGCCCATGTTGGCACAGGAGTTGTTTCCCCGTGGATAAAGATTGTCATTCTTTCTGTAGTCAGCATCTTTATATAGTCCTTAGTTTTTGTTCTGGTAAAAGGTCACACATTTCACACTGAAGCACATCTTCCTCTGATGCAGAACCCAGTTTTTTTGTTTTTTTTTTAAGCATCATTCTGTTTGAACTATCAGACACGGACCCTTCAGGATTCTGCATATACCTGTATAATATTTTAGCAAATATGCCATAATGTCACTTGAGTAAACTCTCTCAACTAGAATGAATGATAATGGCCCTATCTAAACCTGCTAATCTATGACATCATCACCTGTTCTTTTCACAATTGTTTGAAGGCATTTTAATCTTGGCCTGTATTCTAGCATTTCACAATTAGAAATTAATTTGCTCATTTCCACACAGTGGTGTTCTCTATTCATATCTGGATTTCTTTGTGTGTTTAAACAGTCTTTTTAATTTAATGCATAGAAATCTAAAAAAAAAAAAAAATAGAAAAACATGTCAGATGTTTTCTAATGAATTCCCATTCAATTGTAGGAACAAATGCTTTTCTGTCACAAAAAAAATTATTGCAGACAATTTAAGTAAAACCTAAACAATAGAGAATCAGCAGAGGAAAATAGTATTTTCATTCTGCGGCCGTCAGTCTGCAACCTCTATAACAATAGAGATAGATGAGCATAAATTAAAAAGTCAGACAGCCTCACAAAGGAATAATCTTCCTCAGTGTGTGGAGCTTTTATGAATGAAGTGTCAGAGATAAGCAGCAGCCTGTAGTCCTGCCCTGCAGTGAGACGTACATAAAAAAGCTGTCAGAGATGATAAAAAAAAAAGGCTCACCTGTGCACCTTCCCTCCATAAAAAGGCTTTGTGTGAAAGGTCACCGTGGCTGAGTAGCCGCTCTTGATGCAGTTGATGGAGACTTTGCCTCCCAGCTCCACCCAGGGGACGGTGAGGATGGAGCGGGCGTAGGCGCAGGGCAGAGTGAAGATATACTCCTCGTCGTGCTCCAGGAGACACAGGACTCCTGGGAGGAGGAGGAGGAGGCGATACGTTTGAGAGAAATCAGAGTAACAGCAGCTTTTTTCTTTTTCTTTTTATCATTCAATAAAAATCAAAGCCGTAGAGGAATAACTTGGACTTCTTCAAACCACTTGAAGTGTCTCTATAACTAAATACATTTCTAACCATCTAGTGTTAAATGTTTTTTTAGAATTTGTGCCTCAGCTTTTTATATATATATATATATATATATATATATATATATATATATATATATATATATATATATATATATATATATATATATATATATATATATATATATATATATATATTTATTATGTCACAAGTGTAAATTAAAAAAAAATTTAAAAGCCAGGCTATACAGAAAATTATGCATGTTGATCAGTTTCATCATGATAACATCTATAATTAGCATTTTGTTCTGCATTTTTCCAGCATTAAATTCACAATTTGTTCCACCAGAAAAACAGACAAACTCCATAGAACAGGGGTCTTCAACATGTTCTAGGCCAAGAACCCCCAAGCTGATGGCGAGATAGAGCGGGGACCCCCCAAAATATATGTATAAATTATATGAAATTGTGTTATAGCAAACTATAGTCACTCTATTACATATGTAGTAATGTAATGAAAGTATTTTTTGGGATTATTAAAGTATTTCTGATTCTGATTCCTCATTAATGGGACCGTGAATTAAACGGTTCCCAGCTTGAAAGAGCTCCTGTGTGTCTCAGAATGTGTGCATTGATGACTGAAAGACATCTTCTGCCTCCATTTATCTGTTTACTACAGTGTGTTGAATTCATGTTAATGTGTATTTAAAGACATTTCAATTAGTGGAAAAATTGCAGGGGGGGGGGTATAAAAAAAAGTTCTAATCAACCAGAACTTAAGCGACCCCCATGCAGTACCTCCGTGGACCCCCTAGGGGTCGCGGCCCCCCTGTTGAAGACCTCCGCCATAGAGGTTTCAGCTGTTTTTTTGTTTTGTTTTTTTGACAAACTTTTGGATATAAAAATTTGGTCTGCACATGCGTTTTCCCCCATGACTCTAACACCCCAAAATACAATCCATGTAAACCAGTTGCTTTTAGATTAAATAAGGTCTAATCAGCAAATCCACTCCATCAGTACGTTTCTGTTAGAAGAACAATAGAGAAGCAGCAACTTCATGATTAGCAAGGAACACAGCAGACAGCGCAGGGAGAAAGTCCAGAAAAAGTTAAGAAAAGTTCTAATTCTTATTTGGATAATTTGGTCTTTTATTGTCAAACTTTTGGAGGCAACCTGAATAAATGTAGGTTGAATAGCAAAAAAAACAAAACAAAAAAACATTGAAATGTGGGAATTGCAAAAAACAAAACAAAAAACAACTAAATATGCTTTGGTAAGAGCTGCACAAAAGTAATTCTAAGGGGAAAAAAATCATCAATAAACAATCTTCACTGTAAAACAAATTGTGAACTGCATGATGCTGTGGAATATCTTTTTTTGCTAGATGGAGAAAAATACAGGAAATCATGGAAGCAAACTTGTAGTCGGTAAAGGGCTTCAGGTTGAGCTGGAGGAAAACCCCAACACCAGGGAACGGCTCAAAACAGCCCATGTAATCTTTCAGAGCTTGGTAAAGAATGGTCTAGTCCAAGTCCAGAGCTAAATGCAATGGAGGAAGGCTTGGAAGCCAATTTTCATAGACCCTCTAAACCCATTCTGACTGAGCTAGAGCTCACTTCACAATGTTGTACCATGTTTTTCTGTAGCAAATATTTCCAAAAATATATGTATTGAAAATTCTGAGGCAAATTAAATCAAATGAGGAAAATTCTTAATCTTGCAGACAGTAGGATTAAACAACATAGTTCTGTATTAATCATAACATCCTGTTATCTTTAGGTTTTTGACAAATAGGCCACAAACCATCCTCTTATCACACCCGAATACATGTGCATCATACATCATTAAGGTCTTCTACCATAAACAAAGTGACATTTCTTCTTGAATACTTTTCTGTTTTAGCGAGCTTACAGCAGACCACTTGTGGGGCTGTATTTTGCTGCGGGGGTGGGGGGGTGGGTTGGGGATCTGCATGTGGTGCTAATGTGAGCAGGAAAAAACAGAGGGGTTTTGTTAGAGATAAAATTTTTCAGTCTTAACAACCGCCTAAAGCTCAAGGATTAAAATACACCAGGAAGGCGCCTGTAGATAAAATATGACTAAGACTAATTGCCAACGTTTGTAGCTGTTCAGTTTCAATTGAATGTTTTGTTTAAGCCACTTATAAAGCATTCAGATTTAAAATAAGAGCCCCAGACGAGCTGAAATTAGCTTTCTCTGTCTCCTAAAGATGTGATGTTTGAATGTTTTTCAATTGCTGCAGATGGATTTCAGTCCTCCATTTATCTCCTTAATCTTCCAAACAAGCCATGGTCGGGTATAAGGACGTGGACAGAAAAGAAGGAAAAAAAAGAGCTCTTCGAGTTTCACTGCTCTACCTCTGAACCTACCGGGGAGGTTTAACTCTTGTTGTTTAATTCTGGCCCTAAAATTTATCAATTTTGGTTCTGATCTTGTCTTCCAGAAGTTTCTTTGTTGAAATCAGGCAGAGAACATGCATTTGTGTCATTTACATTTTCAAAGATCTTTTAAAATCCTTTTGTTTTTTATTCAATCATAAATTGGATATAAATATTCAACCATAATGTATAAAAAAATGCAAAGTCTCAAGTCCTTTTTTTTCTATCAGGCAATAGTCCTCATATATTAAACCATGGTCTACAAATAAGTTAGACAACTTTCTAGATTTAGAGGCGTAGCTGGAACATTTTTATCCGGGTGGCGTGGCAGGGACCAATGTGCCGCTGGAGGTGATTGAGAGCGGATAGACGCCAGAACCTCAGGCTCAATCTGCACTGTACCAACAGGAAAATGAACAACCACACCATATATAAATTTTAAATAAGATAAACTAGATTTTCCTGAAGCCATTGCTGATAATTAAATGCTTATATTAACATATCCATGCGCTGAAATTAAAGCTTTAGCCGACAATCTTTGAGCTCTGGCGGAACAATAATAATTGTTATTGCATAATATCAGTATAAACATATACTACTACTACATTAAATGGATTTAGTTATTTATCTCTTATTATATTGAAGATTCCTAGATGACATGCAGAGTCATAACTATAACTTTACTGAATAAAACACAAAAAATAAAATAGAGTACAAAAAAGTAAATTAATTATGTGTTTATAATTTTTAGTGTTAGTATAAAGAGAGTTATTAACTACTGTATTTTCATTTACAGTTTATTTTTAATGTACAAACAATCTGAAATAAGTTATAACATCACGTGTATCACTGCTGCCACCCTCTGTTTTAGAGGAGAACTGCTTATGAATGATGTCCAATGATTGGCTGACCCCCGGCTCACACCAACTCCGGTCTTACCGTTGCGGTGCGTTGGGTGCGGCGGCGCAGTGATTCCAAGTCATTAAAAAGACGTAAACCTCTCTCACCGGCTGCTGAGCTGTCCGGCTGCGGTTACCGAGACACTCCGGCGCTGCAGAAAATTCAGCAAGAAAGCTATCCTTGCGGCGTGCCGGAGCCCTCCGCAACAAGCTCTCGCAAATATCCTTATTTGGGCCGCGTTATCGCGTGAAGTTACGTGAACTTCTATTCTCGCGAGTTAAATCTCTGGACTTGTTGCCGGAGCCGCACCGCACCGCACCGTAGTCAAAAGGGCGGTGTGAGAGGGGGTGTGCGGGAGTCGCGGTCTCCGTCGGCTCGGTAACCGCACCGCAGCCAGTGTGAGCAAGGGGTAAGGGTGGTCATGGCCACCCCTGAGCCCCCATCAAGCTCTGTCCATGTCTACATTTAAGGCACATTGGCCGGCATCCAATACTGATTCATCTGTTGAATGAATGAACATTGCCATATGTGTGAAAGCTTCAGCCTCGACATAAACATTGTTAAAACAAATTAACGAAAAATTAACAGATAAGTTACTTAATATTATTTATTTAACAAAAAAGCTGAAAAAAACAACAGTTCAGTAACGATTAGATATCTGATTCCGCTAATATTGGAGCCAATATCAGCCAATCCTAGTATCTGATGGGTGCATCTCTATCTGGTTGGGTCAGAATGGTGCCTAAATGCTAATGTATGTCACAATTTTCTGATTCTAATTTGTAAAAGTTCAAAAATCCAATTAAGTTCCACTTACTAATCATATATTACTTTGTTTTGCTTTATCACATGAAATCCCAATGAAATGCATCAAAGTTTGTAGCTTTGACTTGACCAAATATTAAAGGTTAAAGGCTATGGATACTTCTGCAGTGCATTTTTTGGTTTAGATATTGTTGCTCTATGTCCATAAAGATATCCCCTAAATATTGATCAGTTTGACCCCTCAGGTTCATTTCAGAATAAATCACCTGCAGCTTTCCTCCTCCTCGTGACTCACTGCCCATCAGTGACTGAGCCTGAAAGGAATCTCAGAAGTTTTTTTTTTCCAAACAGTGATCAATATGTCCTGAGGTGAAGGTCACCATGTTCTCCAGCTGGAACAGTGATGATTCACTATCTGTCGACAGGCGATCTGAGGTCTGAATCTCAGACTTCCTGTATTTCAGCTGTAGGTGATTCGTCACTGACTGTAGGGATTGTTCAGGTGCTGACGGGAAGGTCAGGGTCATCATTTCAAACTGAGATGTTTTCTACTAGAATGAAGTGCAGATTTTAAAGTTTCTGCTACAAACCTCAAACATACAGGATTGTTTTTCTTTTTTTTCTTTTTTTGTTTGCAGGCTAAGGATTTAGACCTGTAAATAAATCTGTTTATAACTATAATTCCAGTTTTTCTTTCTATTTAGCTCCTGAAAAAATGCCTTATATCGGCCAGCGCACTATAAAATCTTTCATCAGTTATGACACTTGATTGGTCATGAACAATGGCATCGTCTTGACCAGTCTCAAGAACAAAGAACTTCAGATATCTGTGAAGGAAACTTAAAATTTGTCAATATGTTGAGAAATGATCTGGAGGATTGTAGAGTTTCTGAAAAGTGGATCAAAATCCCACCTGAGATGTGTGCAAACCTGTTATTCACCACAAGGACTATAACTCCCAGTAAATGATATAAACAGAGCTCTAAGTCGTGTAACGCTGTCAAATCAAACTACCATTTCACTCTATTAGATGTGCATCAAGTATTTGACCTCAATGCACTAACTTTTCTAGATTTTTAGCTACAATATTCTGTCTTCAAACATTAAAATAAAAGTACTATAACAATGTACTGTAATGGAGTAACTTCTCTTTTATAAACTACCAGCAGATTCAAAATTATCAGATGTGTTGATGCAACAATTATTTAATATTATTCCAAGCCAAATTCCCTTCTAGTTTCCATCATATTGAATAATGAATAAGCTACCTCTCTGTAAAGCTGGATACCATCTTTGCAGATATATTATGGTTCTGTTGTCCAGAAGCAGCTGAAATCAGGAGACAGTATGGTGGCATTGTTTTTCTGCGGTTTTATTATGTTAGGATGTTTATCCTTTAGAATCAGGCGGGTTGCTGAGACTTCTCTTGCAACGCTGCAATTTTGTATCTTTCAAACTTTCAAGCTGTGATGAATAACACTAAAGAAAAGTTCTCCATAAGCAAAAAACAAAAGCATCAGTTTAAAGCATACAGTATAAAGACATCAGGCTGTTTTAAAAACCTAAAAGAGAAGCTTTTTAAAGGAAATAAATTAGCACTGCATGACTACACTAACTATCGGGTCTTTCTTGCACTAAATCATTAGCACATGATTGTTTTTTGTTTTTTATGTTCCTGTATCTGTATTTTGTATTTTCTTCTCTTTTTATTTATTTTTTGTATTATTTGTAAAGTGACCTTGAGTGTCAAGAAAGGCGCTGTTAAATAAAATGTATTATTATTATTTATAATTAAATGAAAATGAAAAATATGATGAAAGAAAAATCTGGCTATTTGGCATGAGAATAGTAATTCCAATTTGCTATGGTGTTTTAAAGAAATAAGCAATCTGGCACATGCAGAAATCTGTTTTTTATTGCTTTGTGTGAAAGAACAACACAGCAGCTCTCCACACCAATGCAATACAACATTGGTTGGCATTAATGGGAGGCACTGTTAACTCATAGTATTTGTATTTAATCAGCCTCAAACTAAGTTTCCTTTCTCAGAGTACAGCAAATAATAAATCTATGGAAAGCTAAGGGGGACATAATTCTAATGCATTGGTTTCTTATGGGTCAATTACACCAGAAGGCAGTTATTAGGCACCGTTTTATTGGTTTGTTATTTACTGTTTGTTGGTACTCCGTTTGAGGGTTCAACAAGTTTTTGTTTTCTTTTTTTAAAATGGCTGTAATCACAGTATCTACTTGTTTCTAAAACAATTTTACAACCTTGATTAAAATGAAAACAGCTTTAGTCTAGACCAGTCTGGTGAAAGGAAATCTTTAGCGCAGACGTTGGAAAAATGTAGAACAGAAAGATGACTGATTTTTAATCTCCATTTAGTTGGGAAGAATGAACAGAAACTGTTTTTTTCTATACATTTAAATACTTATACTTTGAAACAAAGCTGTACTATTTAGTGTTCAACTTTTAAACTTTTGTTGTTTTTTTTCTTTTAGCCAACATTTACTTTAAAATACGAAAAAAATATCAAAAGTGAATCTTAAGGGGGAGTTCACCCTGTGTTTTCATCGGCTGACAAACATTGAGTTCCCAAAGAAAACCAAGGTGATTTACTTTTCTTTTAGCTATTTATTTGTTTAAAATTTCAGAAATTCAACCAAGACTACATAAAGTACAGAGTTGCGTTTTCTGTAAACAGTTAGAGTAGATGTGTCCTGGTGGTCTGACTTACCTTCTCCCACCATGGACACTCCAACAGACATGCCCATGAACTTGCTCTTGGTCCACACATGAGCGTTGACGCACATCTGTCGTTCCCGGCACTCACAGTAAAACCCAGACACCGGTGGATGATGGGACACCTGCTCTGCCACAAATCGGACTCTGTAGGATCCTTCGGGTGAATCGTTGCCTTGCTGCGAGTTGTTGGATCCTCTGCCTGGTTCCCGGGTCGGCCCTGGGTTCGATCTGACCAAAGGTTTGACTTTATCCCGAGGTACTTCCCAGGAACAATGAAAGGTCTCTCCCAGGACTGGGTTGTAGGGTTTCTTAGCTACGGCGCCTTTCCGTCCTTCATGAAAAGCAGTCAGGTAGTACTCCACGAAGCGGACGATTCGGTCCTCGGCTGTGGCCCCGGCTGTGATCGATAGAAACATGTCGGGGTGGGCCATGAAGTTGGCGTACATCTCTAGCAGAGATCGCTTTTCTAAAATGAATGTAGGGAGCACCACCTATGGACAAGAAACAGGTTAAAAACCCTCCAGTATTGCAGCTGTAAACGTGAAAAGGTGGGCGGGGTCTCACCCGTGTGAGATCCATTCCCAGTTTGAGTTGAGAGAGCAGGTGAAGAATGACGCTCCGCTGGTCATCCAGAACGCCCAGATCCTCTTCCTCATTGTCCTCCGTATCGGTCACCTCCTCACTGGGACTGATGTCCTCCAGGCCTTGGTGGTGCTGCCCACACAAACGGATAAGAAAACAAAGGGTTGACTTTTAAATTTAACGATGACAAAGATGAACGAAAACTAATTCATGGAGGAAAACAGTTCAGGCTTTTCCCAAAACTATTCCCTTAGCTGTGGGAGCATGAAGTTACATAAAATGACTTGGAATGCTTAAAGTTTAAGGATTCTCCTTCATTGTAATTCCAGGGCTAATAATCTCAACAATCTACACCAAACTTTATACCATGCAGTCTGACACGTAATGTTCTCCTAAACAGTGCTAACAGAAAGATGAAAATTAATATGTGCTTGATTATTGCTGTTGATGAATTCTATAAACAGAATTAGTTTTTACATAGAAGTCTAGAAAAAGTGTTCCACAGTTTCAACATGTAGGCTTTTATTTATAAACTTAACCTGATCCACTTTCCTTCTCATTAACCAACTTCCAGAACAATCCACTCTACTCCTCACAGACGTTGAGTTGTTTTGGTAAGTGGCAAAGATAGAACAGTCGTCTAACTTAAAGAAGCAGTTAGCGCTGGTGCATCTGGGATGCTTCAGAGATGCATGGTGGTTAACCAGGTGGAACCTGTGACTGCATAGAGTTGCTGGAATCAACTGTGATATGCAGCTAGGTGGAGCAGAGGGGTGAGAGTCCAGAGCTGGCATGATCCTAGAACAATTCAGCTAAAACTCTGTATTGCACTTGGTGATGTGAAGCCTCTAGCTGTTCACACTGCTAAAAATTTTCTACCTCTGCAGCACCAATGCTTCTACAGGCCTAACAGATGCTTGTGGAAGCAGCCAATATGGTTGGTGATGGATTTATAGACCTGTGGTAAAAGAAGTGATACGTAGGAACAGCTAAGTTCAATGGTTTACATTGGTGACCCTAGACCACTGGGAATATACGGTAAATGTATACTTTTTTCACTTTCCTGTCCTTTTCTTTAATTTCTTCTCTTCAAAATAGCCATTTCCAAAGCCTGAAACAATTTCCATTAAACTAGAGAAGGAAATAAGGGATTTCTGGTAGTCCACTATTGTTAATGCTTCCTCACAGCCTGATTTTACCATAACTGTTAGGAAAATATAACAATAGCGGTATAACAATAGCATTTAGGGTTACTGATTATGTCTGAATTCTGAATCAGAAGCTTGAATTTCATATATTGGATACAACACAGCTTCCCGTTGTTTGTGAAAACACAGAGAATTAATCTAGAAAACAAATTTTGCAAATTTCTTTATTTCCCATTTAAAATGTTCATCGTCTACCAATGAGGACTGAAAATCTAAATATTCACTTTGTTTTTAGTAGAAATCCCTGTTTAAAATAATAAAACTGAGACACTTCTGGGGTTTGATTAAATAGTTAATTAAAATTAAAAAAGTAAACTTTTTGTAAATTGAGGTATTTTATGAATATTTAGTAAGAAGACTTTAAATGAACTTTCATTAAAAAAGTAAAAATGTATTATTAATAATGCTGTTTAATTCTTCCACATCTGTGACAGCTGCTGCCTGAGGCGTCATGTTGGGGGAAAGTCATGAGGGAATATCGTTACATCTGTCACAGATGTTCATCATCAAACATGTTTTTGGCTTTAACTCAAAAATAGGTTTCATTATTTATGGCAAATGTTACAGGAATGTCCTGCTATCAAAGCTCTGCATGACTAAACCTTGCAGATAGACGATCAAAACGGTTCTTAAATGTTTCGAGAAGGAATACAATTCCAGAAATGTATAGTTTGCAAAAGTTAAGAGTTAAAGAGTTTCAGAGTGCAAATTAAGAGAGATTTTGGTCAAGACATAAATTAACTATAAAAATATAACCACAAAATAACCCTAGATGCAAAAAGCATTGTTAGTTAGTAAGCATCATTAGTTAAAGCAGACAGATTTGTGTCCGTTGCTTTTGTTCAGTGGTTTAACTAAAGTCGGCTCCAGCTGAAGCAAAAAAAAAAGTTTGCCTTGTTTGTGATTTCTTTTGTAACAAACTGAGGCCAGAAGAAGGGAGGAAAATAGGAAACAAACAAGAGGTTGATGCATAATGCAGAAATTCTTCCCAAACCCTTGGGCGACAACTTCCTGCTCCTCTTTCTCTGCTTCTATCTGTGCTTTCCATGAGCTTACAGTAACAGATAATAAAACCTTACCAACTCTCCCAATTTATGCATGAGAATCCCAATTTTTATAATTGTCTCTGGCCGCTAATCAACTGATTTTTCAGTGATAGAAAAAGATTAAGCTTGTTTGGGATATAAATCCCAGCCTGCTGGAACCCTCATGCATGCATGTGTGCAGAATCGTGCATGTCTGTATTCCTTATTCTCTCTCCTTTTTATGTCAACCATGATAGTAGAAGTGAATGAAGAGGGTTTTAGTTTGTGATGTTGTCACTTTTTACTAGTTTGTATGTCTGTTCTTGTATTTTGTGTGTCTTTATTGCTGCACAAAATCCTGTACACTTATGGATATACCTCTGTTGTTATCAATTTTAACTATTCGCTTGTGAAGTCACAATTTTGAATAACATTTTATATTTTATTTGCATGAATTTAAAGTTCAAATTCAGCGGCTGTGGCCACTTTTCTTCATGGCGGCAGCCAATTAATCCTTTAGTTGGTGACAGTCAGTGGCATACACTTTTTAATTGGATCTGCAATACTGGATGCTAAATGCCTACACAGTGTAACTGCCTTATTATTTAGCCTTCTGGTACATATTCTAACAACTAAAACTGCTTTTTAAAAATAATCTTTAACAGTAATCAAAGAAACCAAAATTTCTGGCTAAGGTTTCTTCATCACAGTTAAAATACAAGGCAAGAAATGACAAATAATTACCCTGTGTCCTAAAAAAATAGTTTTTTCTTTATCAAAAGCATTCATTTATATTGATTTAGCCTTTTTTATCTGAAGCAACAAGATTAATATATTATATTGAGATCGCAGGTAAATTGACTAATGTAAAGTATTTTTTTAACACTTTATATATATTTTTTAACTATAAACAATCTACGGTATGCATTTATATTTAGCATTTTACCTTGAGTCACCTAAATAAAACCTATTGGAGCCGGGGGCTTTTAGAGGTTGCCTTATTATTAAATCAAGTCTGATTGTGCAATTTGATCTCAGAATAGAGGAGCTGTTCTGTGAAGGAGATCGTGAAACATAGTGATGGCAGAAAAAAGCATGTTTTTCCTCTGCAGTGACTGGTGGGGGATAGAAAAGAAGATCAATGGAGCTGAATACAAGCTAATGCTGAAGGAACGTCTGACAGAAGCTGCAGGAGTTTGAGAATGTGTTGGAGGTTCAGCTTCCAGCAGGACGACAACCATGAATATAGAACTAGAGAGGCTATGAAATGTTCATGTGTTTGAAAGGCTCAGTCAAAATCCAGACTAAGTTTGATACATTATGCAGGCAAACCTAAAACTTCAGCTGTTATTGTATTAAAAGTTGTTTCTTCAATCAAACTGAGTGGGCTAAATCCAAACACACACTGTAACTTTTTACATTTTTAAGGGTAATAATTTATTACTACTTTCCCTTCTCAATAAGGCAATACTTCAAAATACTTCAAATTTGCATGTATTTTAATTTAGTGTTGCACCGATACTGATACCAGTATCAGGCAGGACCCTGATCCTGCACTAAAATGGTGGTATCGGTATCGGCGAGTATCAACAATAGGGCACCGATACCATTTTGAGAGCCAAAAGTTTATTCAACCATTGTCACCCATTCCAGGTAAAAAGTTCTTCTGAATTCACTTTGTATTAGTCTTTTTCCTCCTTCACAAAGGTAGGCAGCAGCTTGACAAAACCATGATGGCAATTATTTTACATCCAAGTAGTACGCAGTTCTTCATATACACACACACATACCAAATTCACACAGATGATATCGGTATCGAAATCGGCTAATACAGCCAGATATCGGGTATCGTATCGGGGCCAAAAAATGGCATTGGTGCAACACTGTTTTTAACACATAAAAGCTTTAAAGGTATGAATTATTTGGGATTGACAACATTTCCCTAGAAGCCAGACTTTCTTTAGATTTTTTATAACTTTGGCTTTGATTAAAAGATCTCTAGTCTTTTTAAAGGTATTTCAAAGATTTCCTTAAGTGCATCGCTGGACATTTTCATCTTTTTAACCTGGTACATTACATTTCAAACCTCAATAGATGATCAACTGGCGAATGGCTTATGTTGGAGGTGTCAGATTTTCTTTTTTCTTTACTTATTTCCTCTTCTAATTTAGATAGCTCACACTGGCCAATATAAATCCAGGCATATATAAGTACATGTACTGATGCTAAACAAATGAAAAAACATCATAGCTGCAATAATAACTTAAAAGACTCTTGGTTGTCATGAGGAAATGTTAGAGCACTTTGATAGGTTTCTGATAAAAAAATAAAGAAATGAGGGATTGCTTAAAACTTCTCTCACTATCCTGAATGTGTCTGTAACATCGTTTCATTATAGCAAACCTGCAGGATATAGAAGACAATCTGACAAAAGCTCCCAGCAACATGACTTTATGTAGGAAAAGAAACAGAAGGAGGAGAGAGATTTCCAGGAGCCAACCATCTGACTGTCACCTGAATATTTTATTCAGCACAGACATCTGTGCAGCTCCACATAACTACTCATTGATGCACACACTGGGAACACTCTGCACCAAAGACATTATGTGCAAAGCACACATGCACATCCTGCATGGGACAGAGCATGCTCCAACACACCTACATGAATCCCTAGAGCTGAAACACAGCGATATATATAGAGAAGTGAAACAGAGTGGGAAGACAGTGAGGTGGGGGAGGTATGCTCTGACTTCACTGGTTTTAACTAATTAAAGAGACTTCTGACTGCAAGAGGAAATTTCAGCTGGAGTAGTCTGAGCATGGAGTCAGTTTGATGTTGGTGGATCTAGACAGACAGCTTTAAATAAACACTAAAATCATCTCAAACTGAGATCTTAAA